AGCCTATAATGAAAAGAAATAATCAGGTTTTAACTTGATAGGCTTTCATAGAGTGAAACATCACATCTCTAAAGGCTTTCACAAAGGCTTGGCCCATGTTTTTTAAATTTATTTGATATACATTGCCCTTGTTAGACAAACATCCTCCTTCAAAAGTAGGTACATGGTTTCACATGCATCTTCTCTAAGCCCAACAAACATTGTTACACTCATAGTACTTTGGAGGCTATATATAATTTAACCTATCAATACAAAATCACTTTATGTTTACTCAAATTGTTAGGATAAGGTTTGGATAATGATGATGATACCAACCCACTGTATGTAATTGCATATCAACTTTGTATGTAATTGCATATCAACTTTCCATCATATGTCATAAGAACTTAAATTTCCAGCTTTTCCTAATTTGCTAGAACTTAAATAAAATTATTCATGGTTAACTAGGCTTGATACCAAACTTTTGCTAGAACTTAAATAAAATTATTCACGGTTAACTAGGCTTGATACCAAACTTTTGCTAGAACTTAAATAAAATTATTCATGGTTAACTTAGCTTGATAAAAAGTTAAGATGTATGCTGGCTACTAGCAAAAGAACTGACCCTAAAAAAATTTCCAGCTTTTCCTAATTTCGAGAAAAATGACTCATTAATGGATACATGGCAGACATGACAAGGCACTCGGCAAGGTATTGTCATTTTCTCAGGTTTCCTTTACATCATTTTATGGTAATGGGCATCAATGTTCATGATGTTAGGGGTTTTTGATTGAAAGTATAATTGCATTATTGCAGTAGAGGCGTGCTATTACTCATATTTCTCAGTTTTGACATGTATATCTTCTTTTTTTTTCGTTGGAAAAAGACGAAATAGGTATTTTATCGATCTATTTCTTGAATTTTTTTTTATTTATAAGAAGAAAATATTTTCACTCAACTGTTGATCTCGTACCCATGCTGCCCCTTCCCTTAAAAGAAAGAGGCATTTCAACAATTTAACACTCTAACCATATCTTTTAGTTTAATTTCACAATACTCACTAAAAAACACATGGTCTTGATTTGGAATAGGAGTGGCAATAGGCCGGGCGGCTAGCCCCGCCAGGAAAAAGAAGGGCCTAGTCCACAAGATGTTGCTCAAGGGCCGGGCTAGGGGCAGCCACCAAGGCCTTAGGGTAGGGCCGGGGCTAGGCTTGGGCTATGTTAGGGACAGCCTTGTTTCGGCTCTGCCTTGCCCGGCCTAGCTTTTACATTATGAACGGAAAGTATATATTGTCTACCAAGTTAATATAGAAAGTGTATACTTTTCTCATATATACTACACCTATATTATACCCAGACTTACTATAAAATACAAGATACTGTACTATCCTTCTCATATATACTTATTACAATATACACCTTCTATATTAACTTGGTTGATAATAAATACTTTTCTTTGATATACATGGCTAGGGCTAGGCTAGGGCAAGGGCCTCTTTGACGCTGGCCCTATAGAGACTAGGGCCATACTGGCCCGGTCCATGGCCAACCTTAAATTGAAATAGTTCCACATAGACGAATGCCAAAATAGTTCTCTGATGGGTATTGTGATAAAAAAATGAAACGGCCAGGTAGTGAACTAGTTAAGGTGATGAGGATTATGAGATACGATTCCATAGATGCGTATCTCCAAGAATTGTATAAAAATATGCTGCTTATTATAATTTTTAAAATATTTGTGACTACCATAAAAGAAAAAACCGAGGTAGCTGGATAATGTTGGAAAAGTGAAAGGTGGGAGAGAAAGAAAAGGAAAGGGTAAAGTAAGAGGAGCACGTGAAGTATGTATCATACTGAACAATAGGAGTGGCAAAGGACTCTTTTGTTCAAATACAATTCCTTGGCTTCTTTCACACTTGCATGGCTCCCCCCTCCCACTCTTGCCATGCCTCAGATTCGCCACTTTCATCAAGTCTGAATTTGAAATTTACAATTTTTATGCCAGTCTAGAATTTTTTTTATTTAATAGAAATCTCTGTATTAATTCACTAGCTTTATGCCTAAATTAAGCCCCCCCCCCCCCCCCCCCCTTCCCCCCGGCGGAAAAAAGCAATAAATTGGTTTTAGAGAAAATTATATTACCTCCATTGACCAATAAAAGCATGGGAATAACTACTAGGAATCACTTAATTTATCTAGAATTATGAGAGAGAGAGAGGCCATGAGAGAGGGAGGCCATGAAGGGGGGAGAGAGAGGCCATGAGAGAGGGAGGCCATAAAGGGGGGAGATCGAGGCCATGAGAGAGAGAGAGGCCATGAAGGGGGGGCGGCGAGAGAGAGGGAGAGGCCATGAACGGGGGGTGGGGCATGAGAGAGAGGGAGGGGGAGAGGCCATGAGAGAGAGTGAGAGGCTATGAAAGGGGGGGACGGGGCATGGGAGAGAGAGGGAGAGGCCATGAGAGAGAGAGGGAGAGAGGCCATGAGAGAGAGAAGCCGAGTTGGACCAGGTAGTGTAGACACAGACTAACTTTTAGGGCTTTTTTTCTTCCCGACAAAACATTGTGGCTCATTCCAGCTTTTATTCCCTTTATCTCATGGCGTCTTCTTCTCTACTAAGTCTACACTCTGAAAAACCAATATGAAAAAGATAGAAACACAGGTTCACGTACAATATAACAGCCCTAATACGTTCCCACTAGAACGTGTTGGTCCAACTTTCCATCGCATTCCAAGAATGAACTTAAAAATATAGTCATGAAAACACTACAAGATCAAGTTTGAGTCATAGTGCTGAACTACCCAACAATAAAAATATAGAAAGAGAAACAAATTCCCTTGAGTAACTTTCCTTTTATCTTCTCTTGCATAATCATCACCATGAAAACTCAATTTCATTTGAATATCTTCTCTCTAATTTCTCTTTTCTATACAAAGTCATCACCGTGTAAGAAATTTCGCCTTAAACAAATGGGTGGTTGGTTGGTTACGTCTTGTGAAGATTGTGTATTGAGTAGGCCCCATCTTTTGAAAAAAGGGAGAGAAAATCTAAAAAAGGAAAAGAAAAGCAAATCTCTTTTTTTTTTTCTCTCCAATCTTTATAATGATTAGCGGTGACATAGTGCAGCCTTGAGAAGAAACGACCTAATCTGGGCCAATCAGTTTTCCCCCAACTCTAGACTTTCTTTGTAAATGCAAAACATTCTTACTCGG